GAAAACGGCCCTTCAGTCTTTCACCCCAGACTGGGCCCAGGCACCCTTTAGGGGGGGCCCCCCCCCCCCCAAAAGGGGGGTGTGGCCCAGCCCTGAAAACCAGCCCATCCAGCCCCTCACCCCAGGCCTGGCCCATGCACCCCCAGCGGGGACCCCCCCCCCGGAAGGGGGGTGTGATCAGCCTGCAAACACCCATCAGCCCCCTCACCCAGACTGGCCAGGCACCCCAGTGGGGACCCCCCACCCTGAAGAGGGTGTGACCAGCCTGCAAACACCCATCAGCCCCTCACCCAGGCTGGGCCAGGCACCCCAGCGGGAACCCCCACCCTGATCCAGGACACCCTTCAGGGCAAACCAGCCAGCCCCCACCCATGCACCAGGCCTCTATCCTATATAATAAAAGGGTAATATGCAAACTGACCCTAACAGCAGAATGACTGGTCACTATGACACACACTGACCACCAGGGGGCAGACGCTCAATGCAGGAGCTGCCCCCTGGTGGTCAGTGAGCTCCCACAGGGGGAGCTCTGCTCAGCCACAAGCCAGGCTGACGGCTGCCAGTACAGCGGTGGTGTTGGGAGCCTCTCCTGCCTCCTCAGCAGCGCTAAGGATGTCCAACTGCAGTTTAGGCCTGCTCCCCGCTGGCAAGTGGACATCCCCCCAAGGGCTCCCAGGCTGCCAGAGGGATGTCTGATTGCCAGCATAGGCCCAATCCCCCAGGGAGCGGGCCTAAGCCAGATGGTGGTCATCCCCCGAGGGGTCCCAGACTGCAAGAGGGCACAGGCCAGGCTGAGGGACCCCCCCCCCCCCCAGTGCACAAATTTTTGTGCACTGGGCCTCTAGTATATATATAAAGCCTAAACGACCATTAGCTATGATGCGCACTGACCACCACGGGGCAGACGCTCAACACACAGGCATGGAAACATGGAACAGACTGATGAATCTTGTGGGGGGGGGGCGGGGAGGGCAGGAAGAGATTAACCAAAGATGTTATAAACATACTAGAGGCCTGGTGCACTGTGCACCGGTAGGGTCCCTCAGCCTGGCCTACGGGGATCGGGCCAAAACCTGCTCTCCAATATCCCCCGAGGGGTCCCGGGTTGCGAGAGGGTACAGGCCAGGCTGAGGGACCCCATCGGTGCACAAATTCGTGCACCAGGCCTCTGGTATATCAATAAATGCCAAGTGTTTACTTGTACTTTGCCCTTCAGTAACACAAATTAGTATAAATTAAGTACAATATCTCTACCAAATGGGAATTATTTTTTTGAGTGATCAAACCTAGAGGAAAATGAGAGTTCTCATGACAAGACCTGTGGACTATTTCTGTAGTCTAGTCTATGCCAGACCCTCAACTGATGAAGGGTTTTATTTAAGTGAGGTGGAAAAAATGTCAGTTTTCCTCACTATTTTTTAACTACCTTCTATGTGACAACTGACAATATATAATCCTGGCATCTTACACTTTTCATATGCCATAACTGAAAGGTGATGAGTAAAATACAATATATTCCAGAAGACAGAAGAAACTTGTTCATATTCACATTTCTAACCTTTGAACAAAGACTAAATAAATCCTTCCAAGGGCCTGTGTATATTCTGCTGCTGAGTTTTAGAATTTCAATGGTATGATTACATTTTCCATCCCTATTTTGAGTGTTTTTCCTAGATGAAACTTTTCTAAAGATATACTTTTATAAAAGTAATAATCTTATTTTTTCACTGAAGAAAAACCACTTCTATATTTTTAAAATATATTTTTATTGATTTCAGAGAGGGAGAGAGAGATAAAAACATCAATGTTGAGAATCATTGACCTGCTACCTCTTGCACACCCCCTGCTGGGGATAGAGCCCACAACCCAGGCATGTGCTTTTGATTGGAATCGAACCAAGGGCCATTTAGTCCACAGGCTGATGCTCTATCCACTGAGCCAAACCAGGTAGGGCAAGAAAAACCACTTTTAAAAACAAATACTCAGTAACAGGATTTTTTAGCTCTTGTCCTATGCTTGTTTCAATTATCTTGCTGGGGAGTTTTTATTCCTTAATTTTCATTCCCAAAAGAGAACCATTATCAACAATATACTTATATTCCTCTTAATTTTTCCCTATATGTGCACTATCACATGCATAATTTTATATATGCTGTTTTGCCATTTGCTTTTTTCAAGTACAATAAGTACCTGTCCAAGATATGTTAATCTTAGTTTTGATGTTAATTTATTCTTAATTTTTGAGGGCATTTCTGTAATGAGTCATGGGGAAGGGAGGATGGGGAGTGGAGAGGGATCTGAGCTAACACTACCTCAATATATCTTTTTAAAAACAGCTTTAAGATGAAATACCCCTCCTAAAATGACTTAAGTAGTCACCAAATCAAGGTGCTAAATATTCTTATTACTTTTAATGCTTTTTACAAATTAGAAATAAGAAAAACAGCTTTCCGATGTAAATGTATTCTAAACATTGGCCCAATTAGTTGTTTTTATCAAAATTCAGTATTATGGGATCATGTCCTGTCTTCTTCACAAATGTAAGAAAGTCTTCAGGGCTCAACCCCATGGTTGCAGCATTGGTCATTGGATGAAAGTACACCTTTTCATGTCCACCTTCCAAAAAAGCAGAGTCCAGAACAAATTTCACATCTCCATCATCACAGAATAGTGCCAAGGGTGTGGCACAGCCTGAGCCAACTTTTAGCTTTTCTAGCATGGCTGTTTCATCAGCGAACCGCAGATTTCCACTCCCGACACCTAACTGCTTGGCAAGGTCATTTAAATTAACTTGTCGATCATGAAGAACTGTCACCAGCCAATAGCCTTTTTTCTTTTTGTCTTTAAGAAATAAGTTCTTACTGTGTGCTCCTTTCAAATGTTGGACATGAGGCATCATTTCTTCAACTGTAAACACCTGTAAAATGTCACATGAGAAATTTAAAAATAATATGCATGTATACACACACTGTATACACACACAGTTACAATGTATTTTGCTTGCTGGGCGAAAACAGCAACGTTAGGGAAAAAAACACAGCAAGGTTAGGAAGCACTCAGTGCTCTGGATTTCACCCATTATGAAATACAAGCCTTTACCAGCTCAATTCCTCATATCGGGACCTCAAGTAATTTATCTTAGGTCAGTTCTCTATTCCAGTGTGCTGACTGACCAAGCCCTCACATTCTTAAAATACTTTTTGTCTTTTTTTTTTTTTCTTTAAATTGAAAGTTTGTAACAGCCCAGATTCCTTAGCATCCCATTACATCTAGATCAGGTGACAACCTCCAATCTACAGGTATGTAACCAGGGTGAGGGTGAGGGTGAGGGCAGGGAGTGAGACCCTGGACTGACAGAACAGCAGAAAGCTGGCAATATGCACAGGTCAAGGAGCGTGTGTGGACTATATGGGAGGGGAGAGGATCAGAGAAAATGATAGTTTTGACGTTAAATTTGTGAAGTTGAGAAGACTTTTAATGGACTTCTCCCTTTGGAGATTGCCATACTTAGCTGTTACCAGTAGCTGTCACGGAAGCTTTGGGTAAAAAGGTTATGGACCCGCAGCTCTCAAGTTACAACTGGTTCTGTGAAATATTTGCAAATCTCCATATACACTAAATCATGTGAAACATTCCAAACTCTCTAACCCTGGTGTCCTGCCGGGGTGCGTGATGCCTGATACGTCGTAGCTACTGCAGAGACAGTTTTCTGCTGGGTGACTTTACACATCAAGCGGACAAACTGAGCAGCATCTCGCAACAGTTTACAATGCACCAGTTCTCGGTATGTTGCACTAGTTCTCAATATGAAATGTGAGAAAAGAGGAAAACAAGTTTTCTCACAGAACATCATAATCCCAAATCCAGGGGCCTTGGATGCTGTTGGGTCCTTTCCGTACTAGAACCCGGGAAATGCCCAAGATGTTCGTTTCTGCGGCCTTGCCCGGAAGACGCTACAGCAGCGCCCACCCGCCCCGGCCCGGCTGTCCCGGCGGGGGCGTCTCACCTCCGGGTGCTCCACGACCTCCGCGCGGATGGCGAGGGCGTCGAGCCTCTGCTCGAGCGCTGCCCGCAACTCAGCACCCGCCATGCCCCTGTCGTGGCGAGCGGGAGCGGCCGTGGGCGAGGAAGTGCCTGGCATCTGGAGGTTGATGAGAGAGCCTATTGGGCCGCCGCTGGAAGCCCAGTGCCGGCGCCTTCCGGGGGTGGGCGGGGCCTTCCGGGATAGGCGGGGACTTCCGGGGGCGGTGCCTCCCTGGGGTGGGCGGGGACTTCCGGAGGGGGCGGTGCCATCTCCGTGCGCCCCTCCCTGCACGTTCCCGAAAGCGATCCCTGGACGCAGCGTTTCAACACCTGCGCGGAGGGAAGATCAGAGAACATGGTAGTTTTGATGTTAAAGGTTGCACCTGAGGGAAGCAACCTTGAAAGAGTAATGTGTTGAGACCATCTGGACAGTAACGGCCACTGAACCGTGTTATGGCCTCTGTATAACATACTACAAACTATCTGGATGGAGGTCTTGTCTTGCAGCCTCCCAAGACAAGCCGCCTAACAAGTCCCCTTGCTTATTAAACCTGTCACCTGCCAACATGGAGCGGCCGTTTCGGCTTGTCCTCTGTGTAGGGGACGGTTTCAGGTTTCACCAGGGAAACTCCCTGAGTTTGTGGACCATCAGGGAGAGAGTTGGGGGCCAATCCCTATCCTTTTAAGACTTATCAATTTTTTAATTATAATTCCTCTTTACCCTTTCTGCAAGTTAACTTTTGTTATTATTCATCTGTGAATAGTTAGCTGCGGCAGCCTGGACCCAGCTTTTTCAGAAGCAGTTTGCCTGCCTCTGGTGGGGTGGCTTCTGCTATCCTTAGAAACTTCACTGAACCCTTGTATGAGGCCTGAAATGTCACGTTAGGGTTTATGAAATTAGATTAAGCCTCAAATCCCAAATAAACATAGATAATCCAAGGGATGTCTAACTCCAGTGAGAATAGATTTAGATCATTTCTGGGGTGCAAACTGAAGGCCTGGAAAAGGAAGCCCCTTCAGAAGACACAACAAAGTATCTATCTGGGTCCTCACTGCATAGGCCTTGGTGGAAACTGCAAGAACTGACTTCACAATTTCACCCAGGTTGGCCTTGGACAGCACATGATAACACTTCTCAGCTTGCCCTCGCTTGCATGGCTCAGTGGATAGGGCGTTGGCCTGTGGACTAAAGGGTCCTGGGCTCGATCCGGTCAAGGGCACATGCCCGAGTTGTGCGCTCGAGTGTGCAGGAGGTATCCAGTCAATGATTCCCTCATCATTGATGTTTCTGTCTCTCTCCCTCTCCCTGCCTCTCTGAAATCAATAAAAATATATTTTAAAAAAATAATAAAACTTTTCAGTTTAACCACTTCTAAAAACTACTGAGCCATGTTTCCCTACTAATTATTGTTTCATCTAATTATTTGATCTCTGATTATGAACCAACAGGCTACTTACTACTCATGGCCACCTAAATTCAGATCAATAACAAAAGCAAACATACTACACTAGAGGCCAGTGCACGGAATCCGTGCACTCAGGGGGCGGAGGGTCCCTCAGCCCAGCCTGCACCCTCTCGCAATCTGGGACCACTGCTCCTAACCGCTCGCCTGCCTGCCTGATCGCCCCTAACCACCTCGGCCTCAGCCCCCGCCACCGCAGCTTCATCCAGAAGGACGTCCGGAAGGTCATTCAGCTGTCTGGTCTAATTAGCATATTATGCTTTTATTATTATAGATTACTGAGTACTTAGAAAACAGACAAGGGAGAGAGGCTTACCTGGAACTTTTTTTCATGTTTATTCTTTTATTTCCCCATTTGTGAATTAGCTTTGTTTATGTCTTGGCTCATTTAGCTACTGTATAAATGTTAATGGCTTTCACATTCCACCTAATTTTTATTAAGAACACTCAATTCATTAAAATTTATTTTGGCATGTAAGGTTGGTGGGGCTCACTTTTCTTATTAGCTTTTCCTCTAAGAATGAAAGTAGAAAGCAATCAATAACAAGATCACCCTTTGGAAGATAAGGCATAGCCGGAGTGATTGTCCTTAAATATTTGAAGACTTTGAAGACTAAATATCCAAATCCAATCACAGTGACTAGAGAGTAAGCAAGGAAAGAATAATTGGAATCTGATTGTACCTAAGCAATGTAAATTATGTCCCAAAAGTAGGAAAACATTAACCAAGGATAGGATCTCCGTGGTAGCTACAAAAGAATGAAAAGAGATAAAATTGGCAGTGCATCCAGCACATCGTGTACCCAGAAATCTCATCCATCAGTTATGCAAGGCATGAATCCCTCCCCTAAGCCCACCTCCACTCCCCACCACCACCACCACCACCCAGCCACCCCATAGCTAATCCATCATAATTGCCTCCTTTCCCTTTTCACCACCTCCAGCACGACAGCCCAGCGATTTTCAACCCGTGTGCTGCAAGAATTTTTAAAACATGCAATACCTGACTTAGTCAGGGCCACGTTCCCTGGTATTTTTTCCTTGTATGTGTCTTATAAGAACCTATCCTTTCTCCCACATTTCCGGGTTTAACTTCCCTCGGAGGGTAGGCACTCACAGCCCCAGAAGAGCAGCAATAAACTTCTAGAAAAGGAAGGGACCTGCAGAAGCGATTACCGACGCGCGGCTGACCCCGGGAAGAGGCTACACATTGAACTAACGCCTCCCGCGCTGGGCACCGCCCACCCCACCCCGGTCCTGGCAGCAAGAGCGATTATTCCGGATGCGGACCTCTGAATTCGGGGAAGAACCGCTTCCGGCGGTACCGGAAGCCCGGTGGGGACCGTTTCGGAGACGGACTGACTGACCGTCAGTACCCGCAGGTCCAGAAGGTGATCTGCGCCTGGTCTCAGAGTCCAGAGCCTGCAGGCCTTTTGCAGGAGCTGAGTGAGTGGGGTCCCCCAGCCGGTCGTCCGGGTGGCGTATGTTGTTTGACCTAGAGTGTCAGTGGCACAAGTCATACACATTGCGCTTTTCCAGGATGCATTTCTCCCCTGCGTGACCCTACTTCAGGCTTCCGAAGCGGTCTGCAGCCGGAGCGCCGCGGCAGGTGCGGACCCCAGTCCCAGCCTCCCCTGTGCCCAAGGTTGTCGGGCTCGGGTTCGAGGCCGCCAGATCCGGGCTTTCTCTACAGTGACTTCTTTTCACCTTTCAGATAAGTCCCAAGGCTTCCAGTTCCATTCGGACGTGTCCACCAGTTCAGCTGCATGTTGGATATTTCCAACATCCTTTTCCAGATTCCATGAATTTCCTAGCGGCGCGAGAACGCCGAACTGGGTGTCAGAACGCCTGGGTTCTAGTCCTGACTGCCATTAACTAGCGGTATGACATTCGAGAAGGTTCTTTTTTCTTCTCTCTCTCTCTCTCTCTCTCTCTCTCGCTCGCTCTCTGGCTTTATTTTTCTTTTCTCTAAATTGAGGGGCTTGAAATTAAGTAACAAGTAAGGTTCCTTCCAGTTTTGATATTTGGATTATTGCACCCAATGTGTTTGTCTAATTCTGGCCTTAATTACGTATCTGTGCTTTGGTTAATCTCTGTGTAGGGCCTTTCCTCCTGTGCGTCCTTGTGAAATCTGGTTTGGGGCTCATTAAAATTATTTTTTATTTACTAAGGTGTCCCGTGCTTCCTGAGCACACTTTAGTGCCTAAAGAAGGTACTGTAAATGTGCCACTCTTGAGGTGTTCAATGTGCCTGAGGATCATTACATGGGAACACCTAGAGACTGTGAACTCTGAAGGGGCTCTGGCTTATTAAACTATGAATCAACAACCTCAAACACACTGCCGGAAGCTGGTGCTCAGAAAATGTTTGCTGAGGAGAAAAATTCTGTGGCAGTGTTCTCCCAATAAATTCTTCCATTCCAAGAATGATATTCAGAAGGCATTATTTAATATATTTTATTGATTTTTTTACAGAGAGGAAGAAAGAGGGCTACGGAGTTAGAAACATCGATGAGAGAGAAACATCGATCAGCTGCCTCCTGCACACTCCCTACTGGGGATGTGCCCGCAACCAAGGTACATGCCCTTGACCAGAATCAAACCTGGGACCCTTCAGTCCGTAGGCTGACGCTCTATCCACTGAGCCAAACCGATTAGGGCATCAGAAGGCATTATTTAATAGATCTTTATGGGGTGTCTTCTTCCCTCTCTAAAGTATCTGGGGGGGAGGGGGAGGAGAAGATGGTGAATGTTGAAGGACAATTTCACATAGAGGGAGTTTATGCAAAGGTTCAAAATTAGATGACAGGCTCTGGCCAGGTAGTTCAGTTGGTTATAGCGTAGTCCCAATACGCCAAGCTTGCGGGTTCGACTTCTGGTCAGGGCACATACAAGAAGCAGCCAATGAATGCATAAATAAGTGGCATAACAAATTTCTCTCTCTCTCTCTCTCTCTCTCTCTCTCAATAAAAATATTTTTTAAAATAATAAAAATATATTTTAAATTTAAAAAATAAGTGGCATAACAAATTGATCTCTCTTTTCCTCTCTCTAAAATCAATAAAAATTTTTAAAGATAGCCCTGACCGGTTTGGCTCAGCGGATAGAGCGTTGGCCTGCGGACTGAAGAGTCCCAGGTTCGATTCTGGTCAAGGGCATGTACCTTGGTTGTGGGCACATCCCCAGTGGGGGGTGTGCAGGAGGCAGCTGATCGATGTTTCTCTCTCATCGATGTTTCTAACTCTCTATCCCTCTCCCTTCCTCTCTGTAAAAAATCAATAAAATATATTTAAAAAAAAAAATTTTTAAAGATAGATGAAAAACCTTTGGAGATTATAAGTGGGTAAGAATAGCAAAAGCCTGGGAGGTAGGAGTGAGGGGACTATTAAGAGGGTAGGAAATGAAGTGAGATTAGCAGAGGGCAGATATAGCATGTTTTGAAGTTGTACATTAAACTGGGGGGCCATTGGTAGTTGTTTAGCAGAGAGCTGATGAGTTCATATTTGCATGTTAGCAAATCACTCTATTTTTAATTTGATTAGCTGATGTTTTTCAAGAGTGAAAAAAGCCCTTTATAATTTTGTTACTATATTTCAGTTCTATCATAGTCGGAACATTAACAATAATAATACTTAACGTCTAGAGAGTAGTTAGAATGGAATCCCAACTCTTACTGGACTGGGAGCTCTTCCAGGGCAGGAACCCACTTTTATTCATTGTCACTCCAGTACAGCGGTTCTCAACCTGTGGGTTGTGACCCCTTTGGGGGTCGAACGACCCTTTCACAGGGGTCGCCTAAGACCATCAGAAAACACATATATAATTACATATTGTTTTTGTGATTAATCACTATGCTTTAATTATGTTCAATTTGTAACAATGAAAATACATCCTGCATATCAGATATTTACATGATGATTCATAACAGTAGCAAAATTACAGTTATGAAGTAGCAACGAAAATAATTTTATGGTTGGGGGTCACTACAACATGAGGAACTGTATTAAAGGGTCGCGGCATTAGGAAGGTTGAGAACCACTGCTCTAGTACTTTACTTTGTGTAGAGGAGATACCAATTAATATCTGCTAACTTGATTTAAATATTAACCAAAATACTACTTTAAAACTTTTTTTTCTAGGAGAAACATGAACCAGAAGTTGCTGAAGTTGGAGAACTTGCTACGATTTCACACTGTTTGTAGACAGCTGCACAGCCTAGGTCAAAGAAGAACGTTAGCACAATGGAGGCGTGTGTTTTCATCTGCTTACCCAGTGCGGCCAGCTCCGCAGCACACCGGGTCCTGGCAAACAGACTTGCTCTTTGGGGCTGCTTTATCTCAATATAGGCTTCTAGTAACAAAGAAGGTAGTTGTAGATTTCTGGCATTACTGTATTATTTGGTCTGAAATGAAAGTGCCTGGAGCCATGAGTAGAAGTCCATTTTGAGTATTTTGTCATTTACAGACTCTTTATTCCATAGTGCTACACTCCAGGTAATAAATCTTTGTGAAGAAGGGAAGTTCTAGTTGTTCTGTAATGCTGATGAATTTGGTTACTTGGAAATTGGTGTAGAACAGTGAATTAAGGATGCAGGATTTTAAAATTTAGTCTTGAGATTTACCTGTTTATGGGAGTGTTAATTCTTAGTAGAAGCTGTGATTGTGGTAGATATTCCAGAATAAATATAAATTGTCACTTAAAAGTTGTTTCTTACTCCTTCATGCGTTCTGATTTTTTAATAGGAAGTAAGGCCACGGAAGTCTCAGTTATCTTCAACAAAATCTAAAAAGGAGGTGGAGGTATGGATTGGAATGACTGTTGAGGAGCTGGCCAGAGCAATGGAAAAGGACATAGGTGAGCCACATAATTTTATAAGGAAAAATAATGGGAACATGGATACCTGGAATCTTATTTGCAATGAGACTGAGGCATTCAAGTATGAAAATTAGACTGGTAGTTTAAAAAGTTGTCATTACAATATTCTTCACTTTAAGTCACAAACTATAATTCGTTTCTTGGCTCTTTGCCAAATGTAGTTCTCCCAACATTTCACTTCTAATAAAAGTGGAAATGATTTTATCTGAACTAACCTTTCTCAGAAATTTAGTGATATATTAGATTAAGTCCAAATAATTTTTTTGGACTGAGGAACCATATTTGTATTCATTTACTTCCCCTTTGGTTTTCTATAATTTTATGAATTCCCTTTTCCACTAATTTTGACATTATAGGTAGTATCAGCAGAAAAATATTCATAGTATTAACTACAACTTTTAATAATACTATTTCTATTTGTAAATATATAGCATTATAGTCATATTTATCCCTATTGCACCATTGATGTATTTATTACCAATTTGGGATTGTTGGAACAGAATGAGTCTTTATTATTATAACCTGACATTAAAATTTAGTAAACAAAAATAGCCTATGATTGTAATAAAATGACAAGCAAAATAAAATGACAAGTAAAGCAGGGTCTTGGAAAAAGGAAAGAATTAATAATAATAACATATTCATTGAACTGCTACTATGTATTAATACTTTATATTTATTAACTCTATAATTTTCACAGTGCATCTAGAGGTAGGTGTGATTATTATCCCCATTTATAGGTTGAGAAACTGAGGCATATAGAGGATACATAATTGCCTAGGATTTCACAGCTAGTACATGATAGAGCCAGGATTTGAACCCAGGGATTTTGGCTCTAGAGCCTATGCTTTTCTTATTCACAAACCAAATTATCTCTCAAGAATTGTTATTTGCACCATAGAAATAAGGAAATACAATAAATCAGAGAAAATTTTTTTTGAGAACCTTGTGAGTAAACTTATACCAGCACATTACTGAATAGGATGTTCTTTTAGTGTAATGGTCTGGTTATGTGAGGATGATTTTATTTCATATCTTTCTTCCAAAATTTATATTACATATCTTTCTTCCAAAATTTATATTATAAAAGGCCTGTGGCCCTAACGCTGTAATAACCAAAGACCAGCATGGGTGGGCGGGGCTGCGCGATTTCACACTCTGGGCTTCTAGTATATTTATAATTAACATTTATATTTAAATGTTCACTTTCTAAACATTTAATTTCATGAACCTAAAAGGTTTTATCTGTTCCACCCAGATTTTATTTATGAAGCTTTATTGAACACTACTATGGACATAGATTCACTAGAAGCAGACTCACATTTAGATGAAGTCTGGATCAAAGAAGTGATAAAGAAGGCAGGAATGAAGTTAAAATGGAGCAAATTAAAACAGGACAAAGTCAGAGAAAATAAAGATGCCG